CATCCCTGCCCCAGAGCCCCGTGCTGGGAGCTCCATCCCTGCCCCACAGCCCCGTGCTGCAGTGAGCCCAGCCCTGCCCCACAGCCTCATGCTGGGAGCTCCATCCCTGCCCCACAGCTCTGTGCTGGGAGCTCCATCCCTGCCCCACAGCCCTGTGCTGGGAGCTCCATCCCTGCCCCACAGCCCTGTGCTGGGAACTCCATCCCTGCCCCAGAGCCCCGTGCTGGGAGCTCCATCCCTGCCCCAGAGCCTTGTGCTGCAGTGAGCCCAGCCCTGCCCAGCCCTGCTGTAGCTTCTCCAGGCCTTGCATCACCGAGGCCATTCAGAGACGTGTCCCAGCTCCAGCTGAGTGCACAGGGGCCAAGGCAGCACCAGGATGGCTTTGGAAGCCATGGGGTGCCCTGGAAGGAGAAGGCATCTGTGCTACACCCCGGATGGCAAAGCCCTGTATCCAAACAGGCTCTGTGGCAGGGACATGCCAGGACTCAGTCCTGAGCTGGCGTTCCCAGCCCTGCTCAAGGCTTGTGGCTCCTGTGCCTTCCCTGTGGGGGAAGCCCCTTGTACCCCAGTGGCCTCCACTCCCACATTGGTTCAAAACTCTTCTCCCTCCTTCCTTTCCCAGAGCTCCCAGTTCTCTGTTCTGTGCTCCAGAGCCTTTCTAATCCATGCCACAGCCCCTTCTTTCCTCACACAACCCTCCAACCTCTTTCTGTACCCAAGTCTCCTGAGGCCATCTCAGACCCCCAGCCCTGCCCCTGGGCAGAGACCTTGGCTCCAGCACACATCCCTGCTGGCAAAACCCCTTGGCCTTTAAGCAAACAGCATCCAGATATGTGCTGGGAGCAGCCCCTGGGACATTCCCACCTGGAATCACCCCTGGGAAGGGTGAGGAAGCAACACCCCAAAGCTAGGCCAGTGACCATTCTGGGAGATTGCCATTACATGTGATCACCTTTGTGACCCAGCAGCATCCTCAGGAGTGGTTTAATTTAGTACTAAAGATGTGTCCTACACTGGAGATCCTAATATCTGCTCAGATTGGATATCAGGAAAATTTTCTTCTTCTCTAGAAGGATGGTCAGGGATTCAAACTTGTTGCCCAGAGCTGATGTCATCATCCCTCTTCAAAAAACATGTAGGTGTGGCACTTGGGGACATAGTTTAGTGGTGAACACAGTGATGCTGGGTTAATGGTTGATCTTGGAGGGGTTTTCCACCCTTAATGATTGTATGATTCTATGCAGCACTCCAGAGATGCTCCTAATGGGGCACCTTGCTCCATATTTCCCTAATCCTACAACACGAACCCTTGACTGACCCTATGCCCATCCAGACTGGACCTGGAGCTGCTCAGTAGTTTTCCCCAGGGAGAAGTAAGAAGATTTTTCACACCCTCATTAGCAGAGAAAGCTCTGAGGCAGCTTCTTGACTCTCCATCAAAGGTAGGAGCTGGCCCACTTCCCCTCCTGCCACACAAGGGCACCAGAGCTGCACCCTGTGGGGATGTGCCATGGGAATTATAAACACAGCTGCTTTCTCCAGGCATGTTTCACCCCCTGGCTCACTCTCAGTTGGACTGGTGATGTCTCAGGAGCACCACAGAGAACATATTCAAGTGGTTTTTCATTGCTTTGCCTCAGCTAGATATTGCATGCTGCTCTGCTCCATTGCACAGCTGGCTGTCTGAGAAAGGGGAGGCTGAATAAGCTCCTGTAAATAAGACTTAGAGAGGAGACAAAAGCCAGGGGAAATTATAAGAATGAAATAAATCAATGAGCAACCTAGTGAAGGAGCCACTTGACAGACTTAAAAGCCATGATATTGAAAACTGGTTTGTGTGCACTTATATAGCAAAAAAGGAGTTAAAATTCATTATGGGAGACAGAAAGTTTGGTTGTTATGACCACAAGACTACCTGAACACCCAGGGTTCCTGCTTCCAGGAGCAAAACAATGTTATTCAACCTTATTTGCTCTCAAATAATATTTTCAAAAAGACCATCTACTCTACACCCAGAGAGTGTGTAGCTCAATCCAGCTGGTTGCTGCCTAATGTTTTGGCTCTGTTTTCTCCTGGTGTACTGGAAACCTCTGAGCACACCTATTCCCTGGTAACTGGATTTCCCTTCCTTTCCTTTCTCCTGCTTGGGAGAGTTTCCCTCTGCTTCTGCTCTCTTTGGTTTCTTCTTGGCCACATGTCTGGACAGCTCCAAGGAAAGGCCCATCTCCACTGGCAGTAACACAGAAAGAGAGGATGGAACACCATAATTTGATGAAAAACTGCTCTAATGGAGCTCCTGTGTGTCCTCAGGGGCCACCACCGGCACAAGCCAGTGATGACCAATAACACCAAGTGCCACCATGGCTTTGGGAGGGTGCTGGGGTGGTGGGTGGGTGGGGAGGGTCCCTTGGTGATGGGACCCTTGTGGATGTGGTGGTCACCTGGGTTGGGTGGCAGGCACTGGGCAGCAAGGGAGACTCAGGGGCATGGTAGTGACCTGGGGTATAAAGGGGAATAGGGAGACATGGCAGGGCTGTAAAATACAGGAGATAACCTGGGAATGTGGCAGGGCCATGGAGGGAGACAAGGGACACAGCACAGCCCTGAGGCATGGGGGGTCACCTGGGAAGATGGAAGCACAAAGGGGCTACAGTTCAGCCCTGAGGCACCTGGGACACAGCAGGGCCCCGAGAAATGTGGGGACACAGAATGGTGGTGAGGCACTTGGGGACACAGCAGGGCTCTGACAAACATAGGGACACAGAATGGTGGTGAGGTACATGGGGACACAGCAGGGCTCTGACAAACATGGGGACACAGGGTGGTGAGGTACATGGGGACTTGGAGGCACCCTGACAAACATAGGGACACAGAGTGGTGGTGAGGCACTTGGGGACACGGAGGGACCCTAACAAACATGGGGAGACACAGAGTGGTGGTGAGGCACACAGGGACACAGTTCAGCCCCAAGGCCTATGGGGGCACAGCTCCTTAGGCAGCCCTGAGGCACACACGTACATGGAATCATCAAGGCTGGAAAAGACCCTCAAGATCATCCGGCCCAACAGTGCACCCAGCACTACCAGTGTACCCTTGGACCGCTAAACCACGTCACCCAGATCTCATGGAGGCACCCTGAGGCACAGGGGCACATGGCTCAGCCCTGAGGCACAGGGGATGCAGAGTGGCTGTGGGGCACATGGAGGCACATGGGGGGGACATGGAGGAGCCATGAGGCACTTGAGGGACAGGCATCCCACAGGGTGCACGAGGGCATGAGTGCACAGCCATGGTGCACAGGGCACGTGGAGGGACTGTGATGTGCATGGGCCGTGGATGCACAGCCCCAGTGCTCGGGGGACCTGAAAGGACTCTGATGGACAGGGGACATGGCCTTGGAGCACAGGGGATGTGGAAGGACTCCGACACACAGGGGACATGGCTGCACAGCCTTGGAGCACAGGGGGCACAGAAGGACTCTGATGGATAAAGGATATACATGCACAGCCTTGAAGCACAGGGGATGGGGAAGGACTCTGATGCACGGGGGATGTGGGTGCTCAGCCCTGCAGCACATGTGCAGCAGTGCTGGTAGCTCACAACCCTGGCACTCGGGGGCCATGGAAGGACT